GGGCCGGGCGGCGCGGGGAGGGGCGTGCGGCGGCCTCCGGCCTGGGGCACCGCAGCCTTCGATTTGGGCGCTCGAGCTTCCGCGTGATTGTGCAGACGGAAGGGATCCAGGGAGGTCACGTGGTCAGTCAGTGACACGCTCAGGACAGAGATTGGAATCCCAGACCCCTTACTCTTAGTCCGCTGCTCTGTCCCGTCTGCTCACACCTCATGTGTGAGCAGTAATCCCTCATGCTCTTTAGATCAAAAACCAGCCTGGAGGGCCGGCCAGGTGGTTTAGCGGTTAAGTGCCCGTGCTCTGCTGCCTGCGGCCTGGGTTCGGATCCTGGGCGCGCACCGATGCACCGCTTCTCCTGCTATGCTGAGGCTGCATCCCACATACAGCAACTAGAAGCATGTGCAGCTATGACATACAACTATCTGCTGGGGCTTTGGGGGGAAAAATAAATAAAATCTTAAAAAAAAAAAACAGCCTGGAAAAAAAATCAACAGCCTGAGAACGCCTGTACACTATGAGCTCTGACAGTCACGGGGTCCCAAGGCCTGAGTCTTCCCTTTGTTTGCTGATCTGGAACTTTAGAATCACCTTGGGAACCTGGGAAAATCCAAAATCCTGGGCCTGACTCCCGTAGGGTCTCGTGTTGTAGGTCTGTGGAGAGACGCCCAAGAAGCTGCCTTTTTCTCATGGCACACCCCTACACACGCTCGGAGACACAACCACCACCACCGCCCGGATTAATCTCTGACCCATTGTCTTAAAAATGAGTGCCCTCGGTCCCCAAAGATCTTAGAGGGAAAATGTAGATAGAACAGCATGAAGCCTACTTGACCTCGTGTCTACCTACCTACACACGCACGCGCGCGCACGAAGGCGATGCACGTGTGCAGTCAGTTGTTGCTGCGTCAGTTCCGTTCATGACCAGAAGTCGAATGCTAGATACAGCTACCTGGAGTTTAGAACTTCACTTGATCTCATGGGGAAACTTCTCATTTCAAAACTTAAGGAAAAATCTGACCAGCTTTCAATTTTTATATTGTGATTGACTAGTTCTTGAGTTTCATATTTGACTTACGTTCTTTTTTATTATTTTAGAAGTTTTAGAAGATTTTCAGGACTGTTTCGATACAGATGGAAAAATGTCAATGTCCACTAAATCAACATTGAAAAGTGGCTGTTTGTATCCAGTTTCCTATTTGCAGAAAGGGATTGAAATAAGGTTTCTCTGATTGTACCAATACCAAAGTTACGATAGGTTGTTTAATTGTTGCAGGAAGGCCCCATCCACTTAGCAGTGCAAATTATTCTTCCTAAAATATCTCTGAAAAACAGGTTTCTCTGGGCTTTGAACTGCAGTTTTATAAATGCAGTTGCAAGTTGATATGACCGAGAAATCAAGCAGTGGTCTTGGTTAATCCCAAAACAAGGCTGCAGCACAATCTAAATGGGTAGAGCACTCCTGTAAAACCTTTGCTTCAGAACAGCTAGGGTCCAACCTGTAATTGAGTTGTGTTCCAAAAACTTGTTTGTTAGTCTGTTGTTTGGAGCTCTGACTCTTATTTCATAATCTGTAAAGTCATTTGTTCCAGTACCAGGTCAAAAAAGCCTTTTCCACCTGAAATTGTATGTTATATACAGTTAGAATATTAATAATTTACAGAAACTAACAATCTGCCTGAAGAAAAATGTTTTCTGAGTTCAACCTTGGGATGCTCTGCCAGAAAATCAGAGAAAAAAGAAAAGGCACTTCCCCTGGCGCCTGCCACCACTTTTTGTCTGGCAGGCAGGTGAGTGTGGCCCCAGTGCTGGAATCCTGTCAGGGACTCTCTTCAGCGAGGAGTTTACAGAAAAAGCATGGCCTTTGGCATTCAGATGGCCACGTTGCCACTTACTAGTTGTGCGAAGCTTCATGAATGTGAGCAAGTTGCTTAACCTCTTTGGGCCTCGTGCCTTGCAGAATTGGTCTGAGGATTTGAGACAATGATTGTAAAAGGCCTGACATAATAACAACTAAGTGATTAGTAGGTACAATTAGTAATGATACAAATATGAATATATAAATAATAATGAATAAAAAATGTAAAAATAAGTCATCAAAATTCATGTAAGTCTAAGCCCTAGGGGTAGCTGATACTTTATTGTAGCTAATGGTTACTTTGGGAAAAATATACAAAACACAAAGCTGAACAAGATATAGAGAATATGTAGGACTTGCAAAGTGAAGATGTATCTTATTAAGTGGCCCCCATTTTTATTTCTAAGCAAACTGTGAAAGTGCCAAAGGCTCTGGTGTCAGATGCTCAGGTGCTCATCTTGACTTTGCAAATTACTAGCAGTGTGACTGGGGCATGTTACCTAAACTCTCTAGTTCTCAGGTCCCTCAGTGGTAAAATTAGGTGAAGTATAATGTGTACCACAGGGCTGAACGGATGAGGTACGTAAGCCCTTAGCAGAGTGTATTTAGTTTAATAATTAAACTAAATGTTTCCAGTTTAATAATTAAACTAGGGCCAGCACGGTGGCTTAGCGGTTAGGTGTGCACGCTCTGCTACTGGCGGCCCAGCTTCGGATCCTGGGCGCGCACTGACGCACTGCTTCTCCGGCCATGCTGAGGCCGTGTCCCACATACAGCAACTAGAAGGATGTGCAGCTATGACATACAACTATCTACTGGGGCTTTGGGGAAGAAAAAAACGAGGAGGATTGGCAATAGATGTTAGCTCAGAGCCAGTCTTCCTCAGCAAAAAGAGGAGGATTAGCACGGATGTTAGCTCAGGGCTGATCTCCCTCACCAAAAACTAAAAATAAAAAATAAATAAAAAATAAAATAAATGAAATAAAAGATCATAACTCATTTAAAAAATAATAAAATGTTTCTAGTTTAATAATTAAACTAAATGTTTCTAATAAGTAAACTAAATGTTTCTAGTTTAATTATTTGCCCCAAGCTGTTATGTTCTTGCCTCCTCCCACAGTAAACTCTCCCTCTGAGGGGCGAGACTCGGCCCCCTCAGTCAGGACCTGATTGCCGTTGTATTGCTCCTGACCTTCCCTTTCACAAAGTTGCCAGATGATTCAAATCTAGTTTTGAGCCTTGCTGATGTGTGGGAGGCAGGAAGTGTTCTCATCCAAAGGGTCCAAGTGGGCAGCTGTGTAGATGTTGGTGAAGGCGTGGTGAGTTCAATGTCTGCTGCCTACACCCCCAAGGTCTCCTACACTCCCAACTTCTCTGTCATAATACTTGGCAAACTGCGTGGTACCTGCTGGTTGCAGGTTTATTTATCTGTCTTTCCTGCCAGTCTCCAAGCTACAGGGGGCACCCAGCACACAGTAGGTGTTCAGGAAGTGTATGAATGGATGAACGGAATGGTAGAGTTTTGGTGTTTTTGAAAGCACATGCCAGGGCTTTACCCCAGTCCCTGAGTGCTAGTCTCCCAGGCTTGTCCTAGGTGTGCATGGTTTTAACTCTCCACAGGTGATTCTAATGAACACACCTGCTTAAGAACACCTGGGTTAGACAAGCAATTATTAGGATGGAGAAAGTGGTGGAAAAGACAAATTGACAGCCCAAGAGAAAGGCATTCATTTTTTGTTCTTTAAACTTGAAGTTTTCTATCCTTTTTCCTGCCTGAGAGTTGGGGAAATTTGGTATATTGAGTGTGGTTCGGGTAATAAGGACATGTCAGGGCCATTTTCTTTCAGCATACACACAACAACGTTTGTCTGAGGCCTGACTGCCGTCTCAGGGGCCCTTTGATAAGCTGAGAAAAAAGGCTAGACTCATTTGAGTGACCTTATGTGAAAATAAATCATTCAATAACTCTATTTTTGTTTTAAATAAAACTTTTTTCTTATGTTTGAAATTGATTTGCTTTTGATTTACTTTTGTTCTCAAACAGTCCTCTGCCCTGTTTCCCCAACCTGGAGACTGATGAAGGGTTTTGGCAGCCTCTGTTAACCCCAAGGGGTAGGCTGACGTGTTAAGGCCGGTACCTCTGGTGTAATAACTTGCAGGCCTTTGATGACAAAGCACTAGGCACGTTTTCTTTCCCCTCAGCCTGGCTGCAGACCCCTGCACCATTTGGCCCCAACCTTTGCTCCCTCTTTGCCCCTGCACTCCTGCCAGGCTGAATACTGCCTTGTCCCCACATATGTCCCTTGCTCCTGGGCCTTCGATCGTGTTGTTTCTTCTTCTCGAAGCACCCTCCCCACCACATTTCTTTTTCAAAGTTTTATGCATCTTTGAAGTTCACCTCAAATGCTGCTTTTTCACTTTTCTCCAGGTATGTCTACCAAACCCTGATATGATCTCTCTGGCTCTCCTCTAAAGTCACCTGCGAAGTGTTCTGCCATAATAACCCTGCCCTGATGTTGAGTTCTCATGCCTGATTCTAGACTACCTGGTTTTGTTTATATTCTTCTTAGGCAACCGGAAGAATATGGGATAGGGATAATTAGAAAAAAAGAAATTTGGAATGGGGATTCAAAACACAGACAGAGCAAATTGCAGAAGTTAGAGGTTTTTTGCAGAAGAGACTTTGGAATGATTGTGAAAGCTAAAGGAAAGGAAGCCCACGTAAGCCAGTGCCCTAGGGCTGGCTCCAGGGCCCCTGGAGAGATGCAGACAGCGAGTCAGCAACACCCAGGCATGAAAACCCACTGGCTTGCACATTGAGAAGGGGGCAGGGGGGATCCTCTCATTGCACATAACATTCTCACTGCACAAATGACTTTCACAAGCATGTCCTTGACACTGCAAGGAAGGGAGCCTCTCGAAGATCTTTAGGCACAAGGAGTAATGAAGGTACACATTCTCACCAACATGAGCCACGCAGACACTGGTCATTTCTGTAGGCAGCTGCCTCATACCTTGTGCTGAACACAGAAAATACTAATAACTTCTGTTCCAACCGTTTGCCTCGAGCTCTTCTTTCCTCAGTCCTCACCTACCCCTCCCTGAGGGTTTGCAGAGTGGATCTCTGTCTTTATCTTCTCTCCTACTAGACAGTGAGCAAAGCAAATGTGTCAATAAGCAAACATTTGCTGAAATGAATCTTTACTAGTAGAATATTGTTTGCTTTTATCTTGATCCTAGAGCCATCTTAGCAATAAAAATGAGTCACTCAGAGGAATAGGACATTAATAGTAAGTAACTTGGCAGTGTCAGTATGACACTACTGTTGCTCTGGCTCTATTATTGCTCTTCTCATAATATTTCTGTAGATAATGAGCTTATAGTTATGTCAAGCCCCATTATCATCCAATTCTGTCATATTTTCCAGAAATTGTGTGTTTAAGAATTGATGTACCTGTATTCAGTACATTTGTTCCAGCATCTATCCTGGTATGCCATAATGTCCCTTCTTCATTTCACTCAGCCATCTGGGAAATTGGTGGGGAGGCTCTTAGGGCCTGATGCGGGGCCTCGTATGTGCTCTATTGCTGTACATCCCTGCGTAGTCCTCCCAGAGCTCCTGGAAGAGCCGCTGAGGAAAGGTGAATCAGCAGAACACCTGGTGTGGCACACGCATCATTCAGTCAGAACAGACCCTGGCAGTAGCCCTGGCCTGAGGCCCTCTCCTGTGCCAAGTATGTCCAGTTAGGTGCTGCATCACGGGAGGTCTTGGGCCAAGAAGAGTCAGTGGTGGGAGGAGGGCTTGAAATGGGAGCTTATGCACCAGACTATTTAACAATCAACACAGAAATATTTCAACATCTTAAAAAGCAGTCTGGCCATATAGGTGTAGATGAGCATCCCTGACTGTAGCCCTTCTGCAGCTGGCCTGAGAACATGAGAAGTCATATGCCTGAAGGACTGCCTTTGGATCAAGGCCTTCCCTGTGACCCACCTCATCCTTGGGAATGATGCCCAGGCAGCTGAAGGTCCAGGTAGCTCCTCTAGACCTGCTGAGGTCTGGATGAATGGCTCCAGAGGCCGTGCTGTTGATGCTTACCCTCTCATTTCATTGTGTGGGGCCCCCTGCAGCAGCCTGCACTTTGGCACCAACTCACCAGGCGTGTGCCCATGGGCCTGTATGGCCATTGATTTCAGCAAGCCTCTCAGTGCTTTTGTAGGGTAAGCCCTGGGCTGGTGCTGTAGGATATTCAAACATGAAGACAGTCCAGATCTGCAGCCTAGTAAGGAAGGTACAAACTCATGTCCCTTTTTAGGTTTGGAAAACAAGCACAAATCGAAATAATCTGGGAAGCCTGAGGAGGGTACTGGAGCTAACTCGTATATAAAAGGGCAGTTTTGTCGTATTACATTTGTACTGCTAAATTTTCCTTTGAGGATGGGGTTTTTCTCTTCTAGCACCTCGGTGACATCTGCCAAAGTGGCTGTGAATGGGGTCCACCTACATTATCAGCAGACTGGAGAGGGAGAGCATGCCGTCCTGCTGCTTCCTGGAATGTTGGGTCTGGAAGTTTTTTAATAAATGCTCTTGCATGCTGTGTAATCTATGATGCATTCACAATAGTAGATGCCAAATATGGATCATTTTAGTGCTTTGCTGAAATGCTTTAAGTAATGTTTTCTACAATTAAGTTTAGGTGATTAAGAAAGATACCTTTCTACATTGCGTATTTTTCTTCCTTTAAATACTCAGTTTTTCCCATGCAAGTACCGTGTAATTACCTACAATTTGGGAGGATGACAGGGGTCAAGAAAAGGGGTATAGGAAGAAGATGAGTGGGTGACCAACCATCCCAGTTTGCCTGGAATTGAGGGGTTCCAGGATACGAGACTCTCAGTGCTAGAAGGAGTGATCGCCCTGTTGTGGTTGATTATATATTCAATTAAAATAAGAGCTAAGAACAAAACTTAGTTTAAAGCCTTTTTGAAAGTCAAAATTATTCGATTGGCATGAATGGAGCATAGTAAAGCCAGCTGGACCTCAGTCTCATTTTACAGATAAGTAGTTTACATTTAGAAAGTCCAGGGGAAACTTTCTGGTGATCCCAGGACATCTCAAATTTGGTTTTAAGGGTTTTAGTATTGTTGTTTTATTTTTAATTTAGTTAAAGAATCCCAATATATACTTATTTCCTTACATTCTTCTTCTTACTCCTGAAACTAAAATGCTAAAATTTTCAATTGCTTGATGTTTCCATTTGACGGAGCCTCAGCTGACTGTGGTACCGTTGTAGCTACTGAAGCATCTTTGTCTAGATGGTATTTAGTATCTTTTTTTCCCTTAAGCTGTTGTAATGAAGGAGGACATTTACTCCAGTGGGTGGTGTAGAGCTCAAGTTATCTGTAAAAGCTATGAACAATTTACCACCTTAGATTTCCATTATTTCAGTACTGTCGTGATCATTATCCAGGTATAAAACACTTTTCACAACTTAATATTTGTTTATGTAAAACATTAATCTGATTCAAAAATCAAAAAATCAATCAGTGAGACTCTCTCCCAGTCCCCTGCCCCAGCACCCATCCCCTCCCCACGGGCAACCAGTGTGGATGTGTTTCCTTCTCAGGTTGTTGTATACTGGTAACTATTCTTTGAAATAATTTATTAAGATTTAAGTATTCTTGGCACTGTTCTTCAAATGTTTACCTATGTGCCAGAAAGAAAAATGCCTTATTATTTCTGAAATTGATCTTGAGTTAGACTGTTTCCTTTTCCCACCTTCTTACCTGCTGCCCCTCCTTCAGGATAGTTCCCATGTGGAAGTCTCTCCAGTTCAGGGACCAGAAGAGAAGCTTCGAATGTCACAGCAGTAAATATGAGCTTATTTTTGGCTTGAGTTTTCTGAGTGATTTACCTGATGTTGAGAAAGGTATATCTTGTTAAATGATTCTGTACCATCTTGAAAGACATTTTCTAATAATAGCTAGTTTGTCAAGCAAGATGTTTAGTATCCATTTGTGGCCTAAGGTATGAGTCCTTAGAAACCAAGCAGACTTTAAAAATAAAATGCTGACTTGCCCCTGGACTTAGCTCCTTGAGGGTCTGGCCTTCCACACCACATGCAGTGGCTGTGTGAACACAGTGGCCAAGACCTCATGTGTGGGCTGGGAACTGTCAGCCAAGTCCACCACAGGCTCAAGAACGTAGTTCTACTTGTTAGCATATGCCCTTTTGTACTGTTTTAATGAAACAAACTAATTTGATTTCTTCCCTCCACTCTAATGAAATCAAACTAATTTGATTTCTTCTCTGCTCTCCCCCCTCATTTCAGTGTTTTAGTTTAGTTTTCCGGTGTCTAGTTATAACCAGAAAATAAAGTCTTCAGGGCTATTCACATTAGCTTAGTAAAAAAATATCTGGGATTTTAGAATTCTACTTTGAATAAGGTGGACCAAATATCATAAATTTGTCTACAGACATTATTGGGATCTCTCTCATTTGTAACAGTAATTTAAAAAAAGAAAGAAAAAATAACGCAGAAACATATCATGTCGGTAAGTATTTCTATGCAGTTTCACGAATTGTTTTTTTTAAAAAGGAAGATTAAGCTGAGCAAGTATCAAAAGTGCTGAAATAGTACGGGACCAAATGAAGCAGCAAGGCCTTTGTCCTTCTGAAAGTAGCCACTAGGGGGAGATAAGAGGCAGGTCTGCACTCCACCAGGAAAGAAGTCAGCTTCTGGGTTAATGGATTCCATCATTGCAAGGCTGCTTTGCTGATAACATTCTGATGTCTAACTTTGAGTAGAAAATAGTTACTTTGTTTTAAGATTTTAATTATTTCTGTTTTTACTGTAATATGTTTGAAACAATGAAAGCATTCACCTGACTAACCAAATGGCTGTTTTAGGAAGTGGAGAGACTGATTTTGGACCCCAGATTAAGAACCTAAATAAGAAGCTCTTCACAGTGGTCGCCTGGGATCCTCGAGGATATGGACATTCCAGACCCCCAGATCGAGATTTCCCGGTGGACTTTTTTGAAAGAGATGCAAAAGATGCTGTTGATTTGATGAAGGTGGGACTCTTAGGGGAGAGCCCAGGAGAAGGAGGATGGCTGGGCCTGTCTTCATCTATTTTGTTTTTGTTTTTTATTTCTCCAAGGGTATTACCATGTGATTCCTACAGAGAATTCAAAGAGTTCAAATAAGTATTAAGAAGAAAGTGGAAGTATCCCACGATCCAACTATTTAGAGAGATCACTACCAAGACTGAGGCCCTGCCCTTCTCGCCAATCTTATCACATATATAAATACACAGTTTCGTACTGATGGCATCATACTACACCTAATGTTTTCCAACTTTTCGAAAAATATTGGAACAGTGTGTCAAGGAGATACTTCCATGTCAATAAATATAAGTTTACATAAGTCTTATAATAGGCACAAAGTATTCTATTGTATGGATGTACTGTGTCTTATTTTGCCTATCTTCTAACTGTAGATAAATAACTTAATTTTTAAGTTGCTTTTTTTGTGATTATAAACAGCAGTGCAGTGAAGGTTCTGTTGTCCATACAAATGTAGGAGATGACTTGCTGGGTTATGGAAGACGCAAATGTTCATTTTATAAGATAGTGCCAAATTATTATCCATAGTAGTTATACCAATTTATAGTCTTATCAGTAAATATCTTGGACTGATCTTTGTTAATTCTTTACATTTAATTTTCCCAGTCATTCTCTTTTTACTTCTAGGCAGCATCTCTCGGATGTAATCTTTGTTCATTTTCTCTATCAAACACGTATTCAGAGCCTGGTTGATTTAGCCTAGGACTAACGTAACCTCCCCCTGACACCATTCTATGTCAGCCCAGCTCTAGCGAGTTCTTCCCACACTGGCAGTCAGTGGCTTTTCCAGATGCAATGACTTCATTTTTTCCAACAAATCTCAAGTTTCCCTCTCTAATCTACATAACTGTTCTCGAAGTCTTTGCTCAGCTGTGCATGTGCACACGCACATTTGTCATGTCCAAGTACAGGTGATCTTCATTGTTTCCAGTTCCTTGAGATTTTATCCAATCAGATGATGCAGTTCCCTCATAATTCAAAACAATGCTACGGGGGGCCGGCCCTGTGGCTTAGCGGTTAGGTTAAGTGCGCACGCTCCGTTGCTGGAGGCCTGCGTTTGGATCCGGGCACGCACCGACGCACCGCTAGTCGGCCGTGCTGAGGCTGTGTCCCACATGCAGCAACTAGAAGGATGTGCGACTATGACATACAACTATCTACTGGGGCTTTGGGCAGAAAAAAGGGGGAAAAAATTAAAAAAAAACAAAACACAATACTATGTACTTAGGTTTTTATGACAATTATATTTACACCAAAACTAATTGAGAGAAGACATTTATGTCATCAAATGGTGGACTCAAGGAGTTTTATTTAATTACCAATTGAGACTTCAAACCCCACAACTGTATTGATTTTAATAATTATTGATTATCAGGTTCTTTTAGCTGAGAGGAGCAATAACCTGTGCCCTGTGTTTCACTGTATTCATCACAGGCGCTGAAGTTTAAGAAGGTCTCTTTGTTGGGGTGGAGTGATGGTGGTATAACAGCCCTCACTGCAGCTGCAAAATACCCATCTTACATCCACAAGATGGTGATTTGGGGAGCCAACGCCTATGTGACTGATGAAGATGAAGTGATTTATCAGGGTAGGTTCCTGGAACTGGCGATGTCGTGACAAGTAGCATCTCTTCCCTCTTCCCTTCTCATGTCTTATTTTGATCTGTGTTGTCAAGTTGTATCTCATCTGCTTCCAGTTCTCAAGTCTGAGGTGGGAAGAATAATAAGTTCTTAGAAAAGTAATGCAGTTTAACCAGTCTGGATTTTAAAGCTTTCTGTTTCCAAAAGTGACATTTTTATGACTCAGGGAAAGGCTAAGTAAAATCAGTGTTTACATTTCCTACTACTGATAGCTTCAAGGAAGGAGGGGGTTGATGTAAAGTGTTATTCATAACCTCATTTAAAATAATCTGAGTGTAAAAGGGAACACTGTATTTAAATATGAAACTTTATATCTTGATAAAGAATTTTTGTGCTATTCACATTTTTAAAGGTTGTCCTTCAAGCTTATCTTTGAGGCTTTTAGAGATGTGAGAACAAGGGCCAACCAACTGCAGCCTGTGGACAAATCTAGCCGGCCACCTGGTTTTGTGAGGCCCAGGCACTGATCCAGGAGGCTAGCGCTGTGAGTCCTGGAGACCAAGCTAGGGTGTCCCCCTCCATCCCCGTTTCCCCTCCGCTGCCAGTGTTGCTGCCCAGGGCCTGTGCTGGTGGCCGCCTGTGCATTGGCAACTATTGGCAATGACCAGGCCCCAGTCCTGGAATTTCAGTTGGCATCTCAGGAGTTGCTTAGCCTCCAGCATGCTGACCAAATTGAGACTGCTGGGCTCTCAGGAGGAGAGAAGGTGCATTGGGATCTGGGGGTCCCTGGGGCCTAAGAGAAAGTGACCTGGGCTACTGCACCATCACCATCTGCTGGCCTGGCCTGCCAGAACCCCCGTCTTCAGGCCGGTAGCTTTTTGTCTTGAGTATGTTTCCATTGGATCCCAGATGGCCCACCCCAGGCAGTTAGGGCCATGAGGTTCAGAAGTTTCTTGCCTTTAATCTACATATCTTTGATTTTGCCTCTTGGCCTGCAAAGCCTAAAATACTTACTCTCTGCCCCTTGACAGAAAGAGTTTGCAGACCCATCCACTAGAATATCACAAGTCTAGTTTTTTTCAGCTATTCTGCAATTCCCATGACTTAAGTAAGCTACTTAATGGCAATGTTCTATTGTAGAATCTTAGTTCTTTATAGTCTGTTTCGTAAAGAACTATGAACTGTTAAATAAGTCTGATTTAGTTACCAATCCTAATAGGCACTCCTGCCTGTCCTTACTGTATCCCTGCCTGGTTCGGAGGAGAGTGTCTGTCTTGTGCAGAGTAAGCCGGTCCACTTTGGTGCTGCTCCATCCCCTCCCCCTGCCTCTAGGCCGTGATGCCTCTGGCTCTCCCTCCCTCTCCTCTATCACTGACTTCTCTCCCTGGATCCTTCCTCTCAGCCTATAAAGGTAGGCAGGGTTCACTCTGCTTTCCATACTGCTCTGATAAGAGTTTGGTAAGATGTAAATGTCATTATATCTTACTTAACAGTCTGTCAGGGTCTCCCATAGCTTTCTGTGTAAGTCGAGTTCAAACTCCTCAGGTTAGCTCACAAAGTCTGAGTGCCTCAGGACCCTCTGCCTTTCTAGGTCCCTCTCCCTCCACTTTTATCCCCCCAGCCCCACACACCCCTCCTTTCAGCCGCCTGAAAAGCCCTGCGGCTGGCGGTAGGTGGCAGCTCCCTGCCGCTGTGCCTCTGCACATGCTGGTCCTGCTCCCATACTTGCTTGCTGGCTTCTGGTCCCCCCAACTTAGATCCAGCAGTGCATCTGCTAGGAAGCCCCCACCTCTGCCACTTCCTCCCATTGCCGTGTGAGCTCACTGACCCCCCC